GCTCAGGGGAAGCAGCCAGTGGCACGAATAACCCCAGCATCCCCGTCTCTGAAATGCAGCCACCCCTGGGGTGGGATCCAGCAACCACCTGCGTTCCTCCATAACTCCCACTGTTTGCTCAGGGGGGGATTTTCTTCTTTTCTTCCTTTTTTCCCCACTCCCTGAGTCAGTGCCTCTTTGCTGGCAGGAGGAGGAAGAAGAAGGCCTTGGCTCTCTTGTTGAAACAAAGCCATGGCTGTGCTGAAACCTTGGGAAAAATCCAGGATAGTAGGAGTTATATGGTGCATCAGTCAATCGTCACCAGGTGGGACGGTTGTGAAGGTCACCACTGCCATGAGGGAGGGAGCCAGGACAAGGCTGGGTGAGGGGCCGGGGACGCGGAGGGGCACAGGGAGGATGCTGCAAATTGCTCACCTCTCAGGGTATCTCTGGCCATGCCAGGTCTCAGGAGGCAGAGCCGGGGTGATGGCAGCTTTGGGAGTGATTTCTCCTTGCTGGCTTTTTACTCCGCTCCTTTCTGCCAAACCAGATCCCTCACCTCTTACCGTCGTCCCCCTTTGATCTCACCCCGGCTCCCACCTCCTTGCAGGGAGTGGATGTGGCATGAGGGTATTCAACCACACGTAATATTTTCACACAGTTTCAGCTGGAATTGGGGCTGGAGCAACGGGACGAGGTGCCCAGGGCTGACGCAGAGCCGGGCTGGGGGTGCTCCCCATTACGGCTCCAGCGTGACGTGCTTGATCGCAGGGTGGGAATGGCAGCAGCCTGGCCTGGCCGCGGCCGGGAGAGCTGCGAGGTGGCTGTGGCGAGCTCTCGCAAAGTCCACCTGGAGCAAACGGATGACAGCAGCGCTGCGGGCGCTCGGGGACGCGCCGGTCCCTCTGTGAACATGGGAGAGCTCAGGGTGCCGTGGGGAGGAAGGGCTGGCGTGGGAGCGAGTGGGGCCCTGGGGAGCATGGGTGGCTGGGTGCTGTCCCCAACCCGTGGGCTAACGCTGGGGACATCTGCCACCGGCTGCGGGGAAGAGAGCAAGAAATGGCTGTGCGTCAAATGCGCTGAGCTCCTAGAGTCAGAGAGGCTTTGCCAGTTTTGTCACAATTTTCATTTTAACCCCACAAATTTGGGAAGCAATCACACACTGGCAACATTTCCCAGGTTCATCTCAGGAAACAGCTCTGAAAGTCTCTTGTTTTATCCCTTTCTCTCAATTTCTTCTTAAATTTCTTTTTTTTTTTT